GACTAAATAAGCAACATCTCTGTTCATTTACAATCTACCTGCAAATCCCAACGATGGGAACAGCTTGCTCGGAACCTTGCACACAGCTCCCACAGCGCCTTTGCAGCCTCACCAACTGAGGCACCCCCTGGACAGCCTCCAAGTCAGCTCCGGGAGCAGGCCAAAAACTGCAAACCCTGCTCTAAAATCCTATCGCCCGCTTTTCCAAGAGCTGCTGAGCTTGCCCTTGGATGCCAGCCCCAGCGTCACCAGGTCCAGGGCCACCCCAAGTCCCAGGCCCTGCGGAGACAGTGCCTTTTTCTACAGAATGCTTCTTTCCCTGTTAGAACATACCTTATCTTTATTGCTCCAGCAATGAGCATGGCAATTAAGATTCAGAATTGAGGGAAATGCTTTGCATTACCCAATTACCTTTCACCCCAAACATAACAATTTAAAATTTTTTCTTCTAAACTAAAGGTGTTTTCATTCCTTCTCTGATCTTCTCTTAAAATCCAATGTGTATCACGCACTTTGCTAAGTTCTGGGCATACAAAACTACAACAAGGTCCCTAATTCTGAAAACCTTCAGTCGAAGGAACCAGAAACAAACCAGAGAGGGGAGCAGCGAGGGGTCCAGGCTAGAAGCCTGGAGAGGCCCATGATGTTCCACGTCCTTCGTTACAGAGTCTGCAGTACCGTGACATTCCAAAACAGCGAACATGCCTCTTAGGAGTAGAGAAAAACATATTCCAGGGCTGAATGAAAATGACCTTTGGATTATTGACCCAATTTGGCTACTTATACCATCTCTCCCCTCTGCTGGCCTGGACAACCGAGATCTGTATGCTCTCAGAGGAGTGTTTACAGATGAGTCAGCGTTGGAGCTGGCGAGGGGTGGTGGGAAGGACAGTGGACCCAGCGCCGGAGATGAAGGTCGTGTTTTGGTTCCGTCACGGGACCCAGGGAAGTCACTTCACTCCATTTCCTCATCTACGAGGTGGGAACAAACGAGCTTAATTCTCTACCTAAGTTGCAAAGGCTGTGAAAGCAGTGAAAATGCAAAACGTGCTCGCCGATATTCAAATACAGAATAAACAGGTATGGCTGACCTCTGATATAAACTGTTTTCACAGTAAATCTACGTTATTGCCCAAGGGTTCAAATAAGCTCAAAGGAGAGGCTGGTCAGTGACAACTACCAGGAGACTGAGTTACCACAAGCAATGAGCTGGTGAAACATGCAGACGTGTCCATTACTTTCACACACAGTCTGATTTAGCACCAGTGAACACACACAGAATCTGAAAAACCTGATGCAAACTGAACAGATTTCCTGGGATCTAACATTAAAAACAACTGCCAGACAGTTCACCCTCTAAGAAAGTTGACTTAGGGGGACAAACTACTTTGGGAAGATAAGTGTAAGTAACAGGAGGGAGTTAAGGGAAATTATTCCATTGACTAGACTGCAGAAACATACAGGAAGGCAAACATGGCCCAAGGAAAAAGCTCCACTGAAATAAAAATGCTGAAAGCGGGCTGTAAAGCTCGTGCTCTGCTCTGAGGGCAACCGCTGAACAACCGAAAAAGAACAAGGAAGACCCTGCGCAATACCAGGGTTAGTGAGGGGCTCTGGGAAAGAACAGTGTGCGGTAATGTGACTCTGGAGAGGAAAAAGGGGCATGACGTCTTGATCTGAGGACCAAATACTCTCAGCCTTGACCAGAGAGGGTTAGTGTCATATTAGAAACACAGGACGCCTCCATCATGTGGACCAGCAGCCTGCACATCCAATGTCCACGGAGGGCAGATGTGAGTCTCTTAGGGCACCCTGACAGAAGCTTGAGTTTTGTTCTTCTTTGTAAATCACAGGGAAACCAAATGTCTGTACCTATTACATCTCCCGAAGCTGAAAGCGATAAAGGACGACCACTTACAGTCAGTTCAGTTGCGAGATGTATCTCCACTGAGGAATCGCCTTAAGGTGGGGTTTCCATGACAGAAGAGGAGGAGGCCGCCCAGCAGATGACTTTCCTGAGGCTCCCACTGTCCCACGGCTGAGAAGACCAGTCATTTCAACAGGGGCAGTGGAAACAAGAACAGAACCCTCCAGGACAACAAGGCAGAATTTCTGGTTAAAACGGTGCATGCACATAGGTAAACAAGCATATCCAAATACCACTAGGAAAAAACCTGAGAGCACATGGTGCCAGCTGCTAGAAAGTTGGCACAGGATGAGAAGGGAACAGCATCTGAGTTTCTAGACAATTTTAGATGTCAGGACACGGTGTTCAGGTCCCACTCTTGAAGATGCTGTTAAAACAAAACCAAGAACAAACCACCGCGAGAGAACATGCATGTTCTAAGAGACCAAACATTTTATCTGGGTGAAGGGTCGATCTCATTCTTGAAACTCAAGAACACAAGAAAACAACAAGAACAATCTCCTTGAATATACTCAACTATCAAGGAATTTTCCTATAGGAAACATGAGAATTTTCCCACTACTCTAAAGAAGTCCAATAAATAACTTTACAGTGAAGGGCCCAGGGAGAACACACACAGATGCCCACAGGTCCCCGAGCAGCCGCAGAGGAGAGGCGCTCAGAGTGCTGATGCCTTCACCAGGTCGCCCACAGTCTTGTCTTTCTTGAATGTAACCCGCTGGCTGGCATTTCCAACTGCTTTACGGAACAAGTCCATCTGGTAAGCCCGGGGGCGAGTGAGGCCAAAGAGCACAACACAAGAAGTGGTCAAGGTCAAGTCTTCTCCTGAAGACCAGAGAAGGGCTTCAGGCTACAAGTTCTTCAGCAGCGCATCCTCCCAGTGGGTTGAGTCTCCCTCACCGTCACGCGGGGAAGAGCTCGGGAGGGCTCTCTCCGTAGCAGTACTTTGCTATGGGATCCCTATAGGTGTTCTCATGCTGCACGCTCTGTTGGCAAAAGGGAAGAGAAGAGCGCCGTGAGAGAGAGCAGGACGGCGTCCGGCAGACGCTCCCTGCAGGAGCCCAGGTGAGTCCATCTCCAAATGTCACCAAAAGGGTCCAGGGCACTTTCTGGAGCAAACGCAGATGCTCAGCACAGAATGCCAATGAAGGGCGTGAAAATGGACATAGTGTCACCACAGGACTGTTTCTTTTATGCACGCTAGTGAGTTTTTTTTTTAACAACCTAGCTGTGACTAGGATAACTTGAGACAAAAAATCTTCCTCAAAGTATTTTAAGTCAGATTAAGATCCAATGGGTGCTTTGCACCTGACCCCGTGCTTCAAAGGAATTCAGTCCCCGGCACTGAACCCTGCAGAGATGAAGGAGATGCACTTCAAATTGCTTTCGTCAAGTTTTATGTACCTAAGGGCTGGTACACAAGCCGAATCCCACAGTACCACACAAGCTTCATCTGGCCAAGCAAAGTGTGATTTAACACAGACAATCATCCGTGGTGGCTAATTTTTCAGCAATTTGTTTTCATACAAGCAACTTGAGTTTTTGGCTAGTCTAGAATTCATTAATTAGCCTAAAACCAAGGCTAAACATCTAAATTGTAAGTATTAATCCAATTTACAGACATGCAGCCAAATCTTCTCTTTCTTGGGACACTTATAAAGGCAAATTGCCAACTGGTAAATTTCTCTTTACAATGAAAATGCAAAGTCTGAAATTTTAGCATCTTCACTCAAGTTTGGAAATAACTCCTGGGTTTTATCAGTTAAAGAAAGAAAATACTTGGCCTTTTCTAACATTTCTCGGAATGACAGTATGAATCAAAGTAAGTCATGGGTTCAGCCATCCTCCACATTTCCTTTAAAGCCCATTCAAATGGAAAGCTCTTCCAGCAAAACAAGGACATCAGGAATTTCTTCATGTTTCAAATGCTCATTATAATCCCTGAAACATTTACCCAGTGATGCTGAACGCTCTAAGAGCAGACCAGAGACATAAAGAGTGGCATAAAACCCAAAGGCAGACTACAGAAATCTGGCAAAGGGTACAAGAGCTCCAGAGAATGACAAATGAGTCATTCATCTCAGACGGAGCCAGGACAGTCTTGCAGACACCATGAATGGAAGCCAGAGGAAGAGCACCCGTATGACAAACACGTCTGGTGATTTTACAAAGAGAGCTCCAACAACCGCCCGATCACAAAGGTTGAGAGCAGAGGATGCGGAATGATGGAAAGGCAAAGACGTTCAGACGCTTTCAGCAGCTGGTGCCGTGTTCAGTGCCCAAGAGCAAAGCATTTAATGACAACGTGCTGAAAAGTACTGAGAGCTTGGCAACCTACAGATTTACCTGTGTATTTTTCAACACCCACCTGCCCCATCCCCTTGAATCCTAAAATAAACCACAACTTTGTCCCAGAATAAATGAGTACCCACTCTAAATGAGTGGTTGCTGGAAAGCCTTAAATTTCAAAGACAGAGGAGAGAACTTCTCTCAGGAATTGGACTATTAGGACTCCACCCAGACTTTAAAATAATTTTAAGCTTCCAGTTAAAATACAGACAAGCTAATCAGATAGGGAAGATGCAAGTTAGTCAGACCTTGATTTGATATAAATATTTTACATCCCTAACTTGTATAAATCTCATGTTCACATTCTAAATACAGTCAGTCCTCCATACCACGGGTTCCACATCCATGGATTCAACCAACCACGGGTCAAAAGTATTTGAAAAAACTCCAAGAAATTCCAAAAAGCAAAACATGGTATTTACATTGTATTAGTTATTGTAATAATCTAGAGATGATTTAAAGCATACGGGAGGATTTAAGTAGGTAATAGGCAAATATTATGCCATTTTATATGAACATTTAGGGATTCGGGGTCCTGGAACCAATCACCCTCGGATACCAAGGGATGATGTACTATCAATCCACCAAAGCTCCACACAACGTCGTTTAAATCTGTTCTCCATTATCACCCCACCAAAAGCCCCCAGTGCATATTTTCGAGTTTTCCTGCAGACCCTGACTCCCACCAGCAAATACCCCAGCTAGAGGCATCACAGCTTCTGACCTGGGATGAGGTCCTGCATTTAGCCAAACACAATTCAAAGTGATCTTCGACTGCCATGAAGAGGTTCTGGAATGCCACAGCTGCCCGGTTGAGGAAGCGCTCCAGGAGAAGTTGCTATGGAAACAAAAGTCAGTACCTGTAATAAATTCCAAACTCAGAAGCACAAGGTAACCTTGGAAATTTCTCCTAAACTAACAGACTGCTGATACGGGGAAGAAGAGGGGAAGGAGAGAGAGAGGGGAGCTCAAGTGAGCAGGAGGGCTGATGTTTTACTCTTTAGATATCTGATTAGGAATACAATGGCCCATTCTGTCAAAGAACCACTGGAGGAACTGGGAACCACCTCCTTTCCTTGTAGACAAAGGCTACCTCACAGCAGCCATTTCTGACACCGACAAGGTTCCCTTCTATTTCCAGAAGAATCTCACAAGAAGATTCTAATGCTCCTCGTGAAATGCAGGCAGAAAGAATAAAGGAGATGCAGCACAAGGAGCAACTCTCCATACCTTGTTGGGCTGCAGGCAGCAGGAGACACAGTACTCATAGGCGCTGCAGCAGCCATTGGACAAGCAGCCATCGCAGCAGTACTGCTTTGTGCCAGGGACGTTGACGTTACAGCAGCCATTTACCAGCAAATCTTTCCTCTCACAAACGTAACCTGAAAGTCAGAGACTAACCTGAGTATAAACCCAGCAGTCCCCCCACCTGCCCACCAGGGGCGATCACGAGGCAGCAATGAAAGTCCTGCACGCAAAGAACATAAAGATAAGAGTCTGGAGTCAGGGGCACCCTAAGGACCACAGAACCTGGAATCAGAGAGTGTCTAATCAGAGCTTGCTTCCTGCATGCAGCAGTTTACAGGAAACATGGACTCCCATCTTGTAAGTAGGCTATATATATCCTAATCTACCTAAAATTACCTTTTAGTCTGCTGTCACATATTTGATGCAATCATCACATCGCCTATGTTTTCCTGTGCTAACCTATGCAAGCCAATTTTTCATCTATGCCTGGGAAAAAATGTCATTATTTTTCAAAGAAAAATCTGAAAAGAGGAAAAAACCAAGGTTTTCACTCCTGAAAGTGAGATCCTTCTAGATTTAAAACAAACAAAAAACCTCCACATATACTTTTTACATTTAAATACCTTTTAAATACTTACCATTTATTTAGTAGTTTGAAGGATTTTTTAAAATAGTAGTCACACCTAACCTTTATAAACTGATTTAGGCTCCTTTTAAGTATACATTGCAGGGATTCAACTACCCCTCAGAATTAGGGAATGAGAGTACTCTAATAACCAAGGAAGAAAAATCCTCCCAATTCCCTCCATTCATCATCTAAACACACCCCCTCCAACCTAGTTCATTCATTCATACTCAACTTTAAGAACCTCCTCACAAAAGCTAATTTATTGTTCATAGCTGCTAAATACACATTTCTCTATATCCTTCTGGGAGTGGGACAGAAAAATGTAAGAACAAGTCCTTTAGGGACACCACGTGGCCCATGGGAAACTCCCAGGTGCAGGCCCAGGCCCACAGGTACACACACGGGCCCACGGGTGCACACAGGTGCAGAGCAGCTGTTCCTCACATCATTCCATTCTAAATGCCCCAGCTTCTTAATCCTCAGAGAATGAGACATCGTGAAGCACGAGGTTGTTTTCAGAAACTACTCTGGAAAAACAAAGCATGAGGTTGTTTTCAGAAACTACACTGGAAAACGAAGTCTGTGCAAAAGCAGGAGGCACCATTAAAATAAGAGTGGAAGGGACCAGAAGGGCCCTCACGTCACACGAGGGAAACTGAGGCCTACGAGAACCAGATCGCTGCTGTTGTGGTTTTAACTATGCCTTTTGTCTTCTAAATTAAGACAGGATGATTCTAATGCCACATTAAATGTTTCTGGGATTCTTCCTAACTATTCTTACTCACTTCCTTCAGAAGGGTTATAAATTAAAAATCTGAATAAGCCAGCATGTTCCTCAAAATTCTACCCCAAATGATACAGAGCATCTTATCACATGATCTGTGTCAGAAAGATGTAAAACATTACACTTGTTGAAATGATCTTTCTGCCCTTTTCTCTTTTCCATGTTATAAGTGTTAGCATCTCAGGCCTTCTGTTTTTCCCCAGTACAAACTGCAAGTATTTAGCTTTGAAACCAGGCGGGTCTTTCTAACTCCTGGTGAAAGTCCATCAAGATTTTTCCTTTTGCATCAGAAATGTACTCCTGCAAACATTATTTCCAATGAGGAGTCCTGTGAGATCACAACCTCAGGGTGTGCTGCTACTGACTGGGAAACCAACTTCTAACCTTTGAAAAGTTTGTAACTCTGCTGGTTGTCTTACTGAATAAGGTGTCACCCTGGCAACACTCGTGGGGGTGGCATCTGCTTGCTAAAAGGCAAAAATTCCTGCAAGTTTTCTTTATTACACTGCTTATCTCCTCTCCCGCATTCATGGAGGTAAAATAAAACCTATGGTTCTTGGATTTTTTTTGATTGGTTCTTGGAACTTAAGAAATCTGAGAGTATTTGTCTCACCTGAATTAAGCAGAGGGAAATCATTCTTTTGCTAGCTATGACAAAAGAAAAGGACAAACTGTCATTCATAACTAATATTAAATATTAAAGTCAAGTCATAAGATTTCACACTTTCTCACTGAGTACCATACAAACAAAAGCCTATAAGAAAAAAGCACTGAACTCCAAGTTCAGTCCTGGTCTTAGTCCTAGGTCTGCCCCTGACTGACTAGCTGGGTCATCTTATGGAAGTAACTTTCCTTCGCTAAACTTTACTGTTAAAACAAAGCAAAACAAATGTTACTTGCAATTTAATCTGCTTTTGCAATGTGATCTTAAAAACAGAGCTGGGCACTGTTGAGTCAGCAGTGCATTTTTGTGCAAAATTTTCCAGCTCTTCTAATCTAGGTGGGAGGTTTTCCTGATTCCTTCCTTCAATCCCAAATAATCTCATCTGCTCTGATTCCTTTGAGATCTTTTTGGAAAAGTTTTTTTTTAAAATTATTTTGCTGGGGTTGCAAACTTTAAATATAGATATATAAAAAGCACTATAGTTTCATTTTGAAGATAGCACATGTCTTCATTTTGTTAGGCTCCATCAGGTATCGATGAAGATTCTAATTCAAGGTTACCTGTATCAATTTCAGTATTGTGACATTCATAACCCATTTGTTCTGAGACTCTCTAAGAGAGAGCCAATTTTACTCTTGCAAACTAACCAAATTATTGCAAACCACCAGGTGAAAAGGGAATAAACAATCTGTAAACCAATCGGGGAACTCTGACCACTGTTTGGATAGCTGACATTAAGGAAAAGTGGTACTCTCGGCGTGATAATGGTATCCCGTTTATGGTTTGTAAAAGAGCCCCTGCCACCTTGGGCAGGTTCCTGAACCGCTTGGTGCCTGTATCTTCAACTACAAAGTGAAGACAGAAACACCTACACCTCACAGGACTGCTACAACAATCAAATGAGATGTTATTCAAGGAGAGCTTTTAGCCCAGTGCCCAGCATGTAGTAAGGGCTAAATTAATGCAGGCAGAACATTACCAGGAGGCTCTCCTTGGGGGACTGGGCCAGTCTTAGAGTGGTTAGAGCTCTAGCGGCTGTCTAATCCAAACGCCTCGCCAGCACAGGAATCGCCTTTCTTACACACTAAAACTCTGGGAGAAGGCACCAAAACAGATTGTTTTTTTAATTGAGGTATCATTGATTTACAATATTACATAAGTTTCAGGTGACAACTTAGTGATTCATAATTTTTAAGAGTTAGACTCCATTTATAGTTATTATAAAATATTGGCTATATTCCCTGTGCTGTTTGATATACCTCGGTAGCTTATATTCTATACACAGTAGTTTGTACCTCTTAATCCCCTAGCCCTATCTTGCCGCTATAAGAAGAAATTCTGCCATTCGCAACAACGTGGATGGGTTTGGAGGGTATTACACTTAGTGCAGTAAGCCAGACAGAGGAAGACAAATACTTTGATGTTGTATGATATCACTTATACGTGGAACCTGAAAATAAAACTAGTGAATATAACAAAAAAGAAACAGACTGATGTTTTAATAGTAACAGTAAAACATTTTGGAAGTGTTTACAATTCACTTGAGATTATGCAGTCAACAAGTGCATTCATTCTCTTCCTAAATGCCAACACTATGTGGATACGATTCACGTCACCAAGAAGGAAAACTGTTTATCTTGTAGAGTTCACCATCAAAATGAGAAAAAAAAGACTGTTAAGATCTGAAAGTACTGGGGCTGGGAAGAGACTGGCAGGAAGTAGTCAAGGGGCTGACGCATGATAAAATGCTAAAACCGTAATTCTAACTCTGGAGAGTGTCTCTTATCAAACCAAGCTTCTCTGATGTTGAGGGGAACCTTGAATGATGAGTCAGATATAAAAGACAAAGACGTGAGAAGTGTTGGAAATGGGCAAGAGGGGGAAAGACAGCATATAAAATCCCTATTTAAAAACCTACGAATGGCCCAGGGACTGCAGGAGAGGAAGGGAGCCAGACTAACCAAGTTCATCCGTGATGAGGTGCTTCCCTTGAATGGAGTTCCGGCACTGGTTGCTGGGCCGACTGCTGTTGCCCAAGTTAAACTGCACTTTCCATGGGATGGGCTGATCGTGGTCGTGAACCTGGAGGAGATTCCGATCTCTCACTGCCCTCTCCTCCTACAAAGACACCATAAATGACAAGGTTAAAGTATCACTTCTTGCATTTTCACCAATTTTTTCATAGAAACTACAGTAATAGGAAAGAAACACTATAAAACAGCTTGCACAACAGGAATCTGCACTCCCCTGGTATGAGCAAAGTCTGAGCCAAAGTCATGAAAAAAAATGCAGGGCTTCCCTGGTGGCACAGTGGTTAAGAATCCACCCACCGAGACTTCCCTGGTGGCACAGTGGTTGAGAATCTGCCTGCCAATGCAGGGGACATGGGTTCGAGCCCTGGTCCGGGAAGATCCCATATGCTGCGGAGCAACTAAGCCCATGTGCCACAACTACTGAGCCTGCACTCTAGAGCCTGTGAGCCACAACTACTGAGCCTGCGTGCCACAACTACTGAAGCCCATGTGCCTAGAGCCCGTGCTCAGCAACAAGAGAAGCCACTGCAATGAGAAGCCCGCGCACCACAAGGAAGAGTAGCCCCCGCTCGCCGCAACTAGAGAAAGACCGCGCGCAGCAATGAAGACCCAATGCAGCCAAGAATAAATAAATGTATTTCTTTTAAAAAATGCAAAATAAACCTGCAGGAAGAAGTAATAAATTAGGGCTATGCTTCAAAACTGGCAGACTTACATAAATGCCCTTGGACTACGTGCATGTTATGAATGTGTACAAAAGCATTAATTTTGTCAAAAAAATTTGGAGGGAAAAGTTTTGAAAGTTTTCTGATGGCAAATCATTTAAAATATTTTTTATATTAAAACAAATACATTGTGGAATAGAATGTAAAATCTGAATACACGTTTAAAATAGAAGAGGAAACTTCAAAGAAACTTTCCAACTGTCATTTCAGACAATACCTGGACAGGTCTAGGGCACAAGGTTACTTTCATTTGCAGTGAGGAGTTTAGTGGTAAACTAAGGGGAACGCTGAATTGGGAGGTTGATTTCAGGGGCAAGAAGACGCATGTCAACTTGCAAATTTCTTCTATGAAAAAATACTAAGTATGTGACCCTCAGAACATACCTTTCTTTATAAAAGACACCCATGCCAGTCAGCCCTTTACCGAGACATGCAAAGTGAGGAGTTGCTCTAGAGGCAAGAGTTTAGATCTTTTCTCCTAGCCCCCAAGGCACAGTCGGGCTTTCCAAATTGCCTTTGTTATACTCTTAAAGAAACTAAGTAAGGCGCCTGAGTGCCAAAAAAACAAGCCATGCAAGAAAGAGCCATCTTCTCAGAGGATTCTTCAACCTATCTATCACTGGAAAACAAAACAATGATAAGACTCCCTCCAAGAGGATTTTTATACATAATAGTTTAACCATTCTACCATTTTAATAGAGCTCTGTGGCTTTTGCCATTAAAAATGATCTGTCATGTGTCACTGTTTGAGAAAAAGGGACTAACCTTGAAAGTTGATGGCAAAGGTTATACTTTAAGAAAATGGGAAAGAGCTATACAGTTACTAAGATATCTCTAGGAAAGCTATGTGGGAAGACATATTTAAGACATGCAAATCCACATCTACTTTGGCACAGCAAACACATGTTTGAGGCCTAGCCTCTGGAAAGTACAGACGTGTAAGGGTGCACTAAGATGTCTACTACAGCACCGTTTATGTGGTGGAAAAAACCTGGAACCCCAACCACAGAGAAATGAGTGAATAAACACTGGATAGCCATAGCTATTACCTAAAAATTATGTATGACTGATGTGTATTTATCTAGAGCAGGAGTCCTTAAACCTGACTTGCATATCAGATTATGTAAGGACTTCAAATTCTAATTCCTGAGCCCAACTCCAGACTGAGTAAAAAGCTCTATGGATGGGACCTGGGAATCAATATTTTTAAAGCACTCAGATAATTTTAATACAGAGGGCTGCAGATCCCTGGTGGATGTCCATAGTATATTAAGGAAAAAAACAAGTTACAAAATAATGTGCATATTATCACACATTGTATTATGGTAACTGTATTAATACATACATATGGGTTTATAAGAGCTGAGATAAATGCATGCAAAGATACTACAAACCATTAACATGGAAAGGACATAGGTGATTATTAACATTTTTCATCATCGTTGGAATAGTTTCATTTTTAATTTAAAATAAAATGATAAAAAATTATTAAAAACATGATGACCATTAACAACAGGAGACACTAAATGAGGAATCTACAGGAACTCTGTACTATCCTTGAAACTTCTCTGTAAATCCATAATTACTCCAAAATTAAAAGTTTATTTAAAAAAAAATGACTGCCAACATGAAAGACATAAATTGCCCACAATCCCATCAGTTGAATAAAGCTGTATCTATTTCTGCATATTAACTTCTAGCCTTTGACCCCAGCATTTATACTACAAATTAGTATGCTTCGCATTCAGCTCCTCTTGACACTAATTGGATGGTAAACCATTCAAGTACCTACATTATCTTGATAATCACATTTTCAAGGCTATATAATAATCCATCACCTTGATGTGCTGTAATTTAGTAAAAACATCCTCTACAGATCAACGTTTAAGCCCACCCCAGGTGTCTGTTATCATAAATAGCACTGCAATAAAAATGTAGACCTTTTGCTTATTCTCGAGTAATTTGTGGTAGGAATTATTATTAGTAGAGTCAATGCTAAATAGTGGCAAATATTGATAATTTCCCAAAAGTTATATATGCCATTTGTAACATAACCAGAATTTAAATAACAGTGTGCCACTCCACTATTGAATTTTTTTCCTTTATTTACTAAAGGTAAAACAGTCCTTCAAGGTGACTTTCATTTCTATTCTGCCCCCTCTCTTTTGTTTCTTTTATAGGAAAGAACTGGCACGAGCAGGAACAGGATGGGTTATATCAATACAAAAACAACATCTGTATTCCTTGGTTGGGGCAAGAAAAGGACTTAAATGCAGAAGTCTTGAGAATATGGGAAAAATCACTTAGGTGCACAATGCTTAACCACCTGTAAATTCATGAGTTCTGCTGGGACCATGTCAATTAACGGCATAATCAAGCTATGTGCAAACTAAAGTGCACTTGAAATGCTACCCTAGATAAATTAACAGCCATAAAGACTTAAGAAGCTGGTCAAAGTACAGTAAACTGGATCTCACAACAAGGTTGAAAGTGCTCTTGACATCACTCTCAAACTTTCCTGTTATTCCTTCTGAAAGAAAATGAAGAGTTCACGGACAAGGGCATCCCAGAAGGACCTCTTTCACATTACTGTGTTCCTGGTAAATAGGATGGCAATTCTCCCAGCACTTGTACTTGTTTTCAAACATGAATATTTAAGACCTTTCCAAAAGAATTGGTAAGAGTTGTACAACCAGAAAAGACCCTACAAGACATTGTGTAAGACATAATGGCAAATGTAATGAATTAGCACATGATCGCTTTCCTGAAGGTCCAGTCTTGCAAGGGTGTGGTGAAGGGGCACTGAGGAGATTCCTTCATTGGACAGGTGGCTTTAAACCTTTCCGAAACTACCCTACTAGGCTGTCTCAATTTTAAGCACCCCCTCCCGTGTGTATGTGTGTATATGTGTGTGTGTATTTTTTAATTCAAGATTCATTCAAAGGTATCAAGTTCTTACAATGTGTGAAAGATACAGAGACAAAGATAGGCAGGTTCTCTATTCTCAAAGAGCCTCCAGGGTCTTCCCTGGTGGCGCATTGGTTAAGAATCCACCTGCCAATGCAGGAGACACGGGTTCGAGCCCTGGTCGGGGAAGATCCCACATGCTGGTGGAGCAACTAAGCCCATGTGCCACAACTACTGAGCCTGCAGTCTAGAGTCCGCAAGCCACAACTACTAAGCCCGCATGCCACAACTACTGAAGTCCATGCGCCTAGAGCCCGTGCTCTGCAGCAAAAGAAGTCACTGCACTGAGAAGCCGGCGCACCACAACAAAGAGTAGCCCCCGCTCACAGCAACTAGAGGAAGCCCGCACGCAGCAACGAAGACCCAATGCAGCCATAAATAAATAAATAAATTTATTCAAAAAAAAAAAAAGGAGCATCCAGAATTTTCTTCATAAACTACAAGGCGCTAGAGAAATGTTTTTATTACTAATGTATATTACTTAACCTCTGATTCAAAAAGGGGTATTTTAATAACTGTCCTGTCTCTTTTTCGGAGGTTATCATTAGGGTCAAATGAGATGTGTCCCATGTAAGCAGTAAAGCACTTAAACATAAGGCACTGTCATTAAAAGAATCGCTTATGATTCTCAAAAGTAAAAGAAAAAAGGGGATAAAGGCCAGAGGGAATCCCAATGTCTAATATTTGGGGAATAGCTAATAAATAGCCTGATCATGGAAATTTTTAGTTATAAAAACTTACACCCAGAAAGAGCTTTTAAAGATGAGGAAAATGCATATATGTTAAGTGAAGAAACAGTAGGCCCTAATTATATTTTGAAAATATGAAGAAAGAAAATATGCCCAAATATCATCAGTAAATCCCTCTGTTTGGTGAGATTAAAGATAATTGCTTTCCTCCTCTACCCTGTGCAGCACTTTACAGACTCTGAAAGGTATATGTACCTTGGTGATACGGTGAAAAACAGAGCAGAAAAACAGATTAGCAACTCTCTCTTATGATTTATTACACTTTATATAGTGTCTAACTTGAAACCAATTTACCTATTTAATCACGTTAAAGCTAAAGATGTTCATATATTTTCAAGGAGTTATGCAAACAGCCCTGACACTGTCTGGAACTGCACCACTTGAACAACTATGAGAACAGTTATTTACATGAGAGGACCTCTAAGGACCCTTCTGACTCCAAGACGGATCTCTAATCTCAGCTCAAATGCCCCACAGAGTTAGGCCCACCTTGCCGCTCTATCACAGTACCTTGTTTTGTATTCTTTGTATCACAAATTATTATCTGAAATAATTCTGCTCATTTGCCATTTCTACCCCTCACCCCCTACAGAATATAGGCTCTGGGAGAGTAAGACTGTATCTGCTTTGCCCCCCACTGTATCTCCATCATCTAGCAGACAGTGCCTGGTGCAGCTGGTGTTCACTAAACATCTGTTAAATCAATGTGCCCAAGTCACCTAGCACCCAGTCCTCACCCCAATGGCATCCCCACCAAGGTCACTAATTTCTCCTGTGCTCCCATCCCTACAATTTAAACTATCCCCCAAAGCATTAATTAACATGAAAATCAAAGCTGAAGAGAATAATCAACTATTTTCTAGGCAAAAAGTGGCCACATCTGCTCCACAAGTTCACAGTCTCACTGAAGCAGAGCTAAGGATCATATGAAAAACTCCAAAGCTTTCGAGTTTTTCACAGCCTCTTCTCAATTAATTCTAACCACACCCACCCCACCTTCCCGTCCAATAGACAGACAGCTGTGCTACAGCACAGCTCCTTACAGATGGAGCCTGAGGCTAGGCAAAATGGAGCAGACTCCCTCAAGCCACACAGCTCAGGAGTACCGAAACTGCAGCAGAGGATAGAGCAGAGGAGCAAACTCACAGGCACGCAGGAGGGGCATCAGTCAGAATAGGCTCCAAGGATCCTTTACAGTTTTAAAAATTATTGAGGACTTCAGTATGTGAGTTAATGAGGGTTATGGCTATTGATATTTATCATACTGGAAATTAAAACCAATTCTTAAAACATTTAAATAAGTTATTTATTCGTTTAAAAATAACAATAATGAGGTCTTCCCTGGTGGCCCAGTGGTTGAGAGTCTGCCTGCCAATGCAAGGGACACGGGTTCCTGCCCCGGTCCGGGAAGATCCCACATGCCGCGGAGCGGCTGGGCCCGTGAGCCATGGCCGCTGAGCCTGCGCGTCCGGAGCCTGTGCTCCGCAACGGGAGAGGCCGCAACAGTGAGAGGCCCGCGTACCGCAAAAAATAATAATAATAAATAACAATAATGAGCCCATTACATGTCAACAGTTTTTCATGTGTGTGGGGGGGAAAATGTTTTTCAAAACAAAAAAATATACTTGGTGAGATGAGAAAATGTCTTTACATTTCTGCAAATGTTTTTAATGTCTGGCTTGACGGAAAACAGCTGGATTCTCACAACTGCCTCTAAATCCAATTTATTGCAATACATTGTTCAGGTTGAAGCTTATGAAGAAAACCTACCTCACACAAATGTGCAGTTGGAAATAGGAGTATTTTAGTGGCTCTTCCAGATAATTATGGATAATCTTCTTTGATACTACTTCAAAACTTGACAAGTATACTTTCTTAAAAGTTCACTGCAAATGGTGCAGCCACTTTGGAAAACAGCCTGGCAGTTCTTCAAAAAGTTAAACACAGAGTTACCAAGTGACCCATCAATTCCACTCCTAGGACAATACTCAAGAGAACTGAAAACATATTTCCAAACAAAACCTTGTACACCAATGTCCATGGCAGCCCTAGTCATAATAGCCAAAAGGCAGATACAAACCAAGTCTCCATCAAATGATGATGGCTAAACAAAATATGTTAGATGCCTACAACGGCATATTATTCAGACATAAAAATGAAGTACTAATACATGCTACAACATGGATGAGACTTGAAGACTGGCTTTTAACTGAAAGAAGACAGACAAAGAAGACCACATAGTGTATGTTTCCATTTATATGAAATGTCCAGAATACGTAAATCCATGGAGACAGAAAGTTGACTAGTGGTTGCCAGGGGCTTGATGGGCAGGGATAGAGAGGTTATAGCTAACGCGTTTCTTAGGCAGTGGGGGAATCAGATCCAGAAATATCTGCAAAACAAAACTGTTGCTGAAAGTTTCAGGGGATTCACGATCACCCCCCACACACACACACACACATACACACACCCCTAGGACTGTAGTCACAGATCACAAGTTTAAAAAAAAAAAAAAAGACACACGGGGAAAAATAAAAAAAGAACAAGGTACACCAGAGTACCTAAAAGGCATTTGTAGGAGGAATTCCCTGGTGGTCCAGTGGTTACGACTCTGCACTTTCACTGCTGAGGGTCCGGGTTCGATCACTGGTCAGGGAACTAAGACCCCACAAGCCCCGCGGTGCAGCCAAAAAAAAAAAGTGGTTGTAGGGAAAGTCACAGTGTAGACAGCATCCGAGTCAGACAGGAAAAATTAGTAGGAGTGCGCCAAGCTGGGAAGAAAGGAAGAGTCACCCCAATTAAAAAGATATGATTGTTTGTTCAACCAATATTTAAACACCCATGAAGTGCCTGGTAGTATTCTAGGGACTGAGATTCTATGAACAACACAGACAAGGTCCCTGGTGTCCAAAAAATTACGTTCTAGAAGGGAGAGTGAGGGGAGACAGATAAACAAGTAAATGATCCAGAAATGCTCAGTAAGTGATGCTTACTGCAGAGAAAATAAAGCAGGACTATGGGCAAGGAACTGAAATCACTGAGACTGTGTCACCTGGTGTGACCTGGAGCAGTAATAGTTAGCCTCACCTGAACTGACAAAAAAAAAAAAAAAAAAAAACACTCACAATGCAGAGATCCTGGAACGGGCGTCTGGAGTTTTAGCTGAGTGCAACAGGAACCCAAAGAAGAACTATACACAAGGGAGTGCTGGGATTTTTTTTTTTTTCTTTTTTTTTCAGATTATCACTCCTCCTGCTGGTTAGAGAATAGACTGTAGGATAAGAAAGGAAGCAGGGCTTCCCTGGTGGCGCAGTGGTTGAGAGTCCGCCTGCCGATGCAGGGGACGGGGGTTCGTGCCCCGGTCCAGGAAGATCCCACATGCCGCGGAGCGGCTGGGCCCGTGAGCCATGGCCGCTGAGCCTGCACGTCCGGAGCCTGTGCTCCGCAGCGGGAGAGGCCACAACGGGGAGAGGCCCGCGTACCGCAAAAAAAAAAAAAAAAGGAAGCAGAGACCTGTTGGTGGGCTACTACAGCAGTCCAGACAGGGAAAAGCAGAAGGTATCTGTGGCTGGGGAATGGTAGTGCCACTCAGTGAGGCTGGGAAGACTGGAGAGGAAGTGGTGGTGGAGAATCAGGAGTTCTGTTTTGGCCAAGTATGAGAAGCCGACAACGCACGCAAAAAGGGACGTCAAGCAAGCAACGGGATATAAGAACCTTGGGGTTTCTGGATAGGTCAAGGCTGGAGTTAGAAACAGCAACAGCATACAGCTGGTATTTAAACCAATGGTGCTAGAGATGAGCTGGGTCAGCTGGGAGCAAGGTAGAGGGCTGAGTCCGGGGTCACTACAGCACCCACCTGACAGGGAAGGAACAACACGTGGCCATGAGCAGGTGTCTGCGAAGTTGTGAAAACACAAGTGCAAGCACTTAGCCTGCATGAATGTCACCGACGCACCCCAGTCACCAGAAGAGGCTTACAACACGCAGCCTCTCTGTTAGCTTGAGGTGAGAGGTGGGCTACAGTCCCCTAACTTTCCGTTTTACAATCTCCTAAAACTAAGGTGACCATATCACTTAGTATTTCTTTTCTATTCATTGACAATTTTTTTTTTTTTTGCGGTACGCGGGCCTCTCACTGTTGTGTCCTCTCCCGTTGCGGAGCACAGGCTCCGGACGCGCAGGCTCAGCGGCCATGGCTCACGGGCCCAGCCGCTCCGCGGCATGTGGGATCTTCCCGGACCGGG